TAAGCACCCTATATGTAAGAGTGAATTCATCTACTTATTCCCTCTGATTTGGTCACTTGAAGCAAATGACAATCCGTAACTAGGAGGACCTTTAACCCTCAGTGTCCCCAGAACCCAGGCCTGTCCTCCTACTTGCAAAGGAACCGTGGTCTGTCCAGATTTGTCCAGAATGTTGTGCTTCACCCCATACCAGCTCTAAAAACTCCCAAGTAGCATACCTGGTGAAAATACTAGAGAGAAGACAGAGCAAGGCCCTCAGAGTTGCTTGCAGATAATGCACCACTGTTACTTTCTGTCCAGGTAACAGAACCTCCCATACTCCAGGGTGCCGATGTCACCTTCAATGAACCTTCTACTACCATTGGAGCCCAAGAGAACAAAATAGGCAATGACATGTGAATTCCTGCTGGCTGCAGATCTGTATGGGCTGCCCTTATCAGCCCCCAAAGTCTTAGGACCGTTGTGGCCACCTGCACTGCTACTACTGCCACAGCCACTCACTGTGCCTGCTCAAGAACATCCAAAATTAACCACATCAATCAAAAAGCAAAGCAGAACATCTCTGTCTGACAGATTCAGATTATGTGATGTGCCTCCACTGCTGAGACTGTTTGCTCTTTTTCCGGAGGTGGTATACATAGTTCTCTCCCTCCTCATTAATTAGCACAGCAACCCTGTGAGGTAGGTTAGGATGAGAGGCCCAAGGTTACTCAGCGAGCTTCATGAGTGGGGATTTAGTCTCACACCCTAACCACTACACACACTGGCTGTCATTTTTATGCACTTGTTTCCCTAATATACATACTTTGTACACCTTCATTTGGGTTGGGAGACTTCAAAGGATTTCCATTTTGAAGGATACCTAGGTTTTGGTTCACATATTGTTTCAGGAAGTGTATATTACCTAGGTTTTTGTTTAGATGTGAACCAAACAAAAAAAATTCCCATTTCTATCCTAGGTAGCATTTTCACACTGAAGTACCTATCCTTCTTGTACAAGATATCAGTGTTTACCAGTTCAGTGAGATTAAAGAAATCAAAGATAATAGCAGTAGCTGTAAAATGAGTATCCGTAGTTTTGCTCTCTATAATAGAAGGTGCAGAAAATTATATTGTTCCTAATTTACCTTCCCTTCCCCCTCCTCCCATGAGCAAGCAGTTCTACTAAGTGTTCAGTGCAGCAGAGTTACCTCTTGAAACATAACACTTGGACCATGAGGAATAATCCATGTGCCTTGCCATTGTGTGAGATTAATTTACACAGCTTGTCAACTTGGCACGGTGCCCACATTCTTCAGGAATCACTCACTTCAGTATGCAAAAATTAATTATGGAGAAGTAAATATTTTAGTTGCCAGTAAAAACACACACACATTGCAATAAGGAAAACAATAAAATACTGAGAGTTTATTGCTTTTGACTGTCTCTAATCATTCCCATTAGTGTCCAGGTTAAAAGCTTCCCATAGACTTTATTTTGAAGCAAATAAAAATGAATGATAGTGAAAACATGCTATAAGGTAATTAATTCACAATGGAACATTTAAGCACAACATGTTCAGTTTTCTGTCTATGGATGCTTATATATCCAAGCCACCACCATCTATGTAAAGAGAGGTGCATAAGTGAGCTTGGCCTGGAGCCCCTGTAACAACAAAGTGAACTCATTGGTGGATAATAGTAGGGCATTTGTTGTGGTCATGAGGTTTTGGACACAGATTTATTAATGTAACTTTTCATGTAGTATGTATCTTTAGCACCTGCTTTTAATAGGCTGATCCTTAAGACTGATTCAAAATGTTCCATTTAAAGCATTTCTTAGTTTCTTTCCATTGGGTGTGAGAGAGACAGAAATGCAGCTTTAAGAACTTGTGAGTGTTTAAATTGGCTATGGAGGAAAGTGGATTCAAAATTGGTTGCAATGAAGGTTGGCTACAGCTTGTGATCTCTGAGGAGAGAGCTTTAACCACAAGCCTAGCTTTGGCTGACATTCTAAGCCAAACCTTGGCTTAGTACAGCACAGTACAAGAATAAAGACTGGGGAGGGACACAACAGCTGCACTCTCCTCTTTGGGAGCCTTTACATTTGTGCAATCCTGGTAAGTCATAGTTTGCCTTACTGTGACACGTGAATCAAGGGAGTAGAATCTGATAGTTACACTCTTTAACTAGTTCTGGGGAAGGGGGGTGTCCAAAAGACTTTGGAATTGAATGTCTTTTCTTCCTTCTCCATTTGTTCTTAAAATTATTTCCTTTAGTATTATCTAAAGATACTAGAACAATATTATTGGGGATAACAGATTTTTGTTCCCAGTTCTTTAGATAACAGTTCAGAAGGAAACAATCTGTCCCTCACTTCCCCATGTTTTAAGTTCTGTACTGTGAACCCTTTTATTTGGTGGTAATGGAACACTGATTTGGACAGACAGGCAGAAGTGTGATCAGCACAAAAACCATGCTATAAATATGAGATTTCATGTGGCAAGATGCCATCTCAAAGTCTAAAGAACTCAGAATTCCAAGATGGAGCTCTATTGTTAAGAGTCAGAATCTCCTTGAAAGCAGAAAGTACTTAAATGGTAAAGATAAATGGTAAAGAGACGTGGGTGGCACTGTGATCTAAACCACTGAGCCTTTTGGGCTTGCTGATCAGAAGTTTGGCAGTTCAAATCTCTGTGACAGGGTGAGCTCCTGTGGCTCTTTCCCAGCTTCTGCCAACCTAGCATTTCAAAAGCATACCAGTGCAAGTTGATAAATAGGTACCACTGCAGTGGGAAAGTAAATGGCGTTTCTGTGCACTGTGGTGTCTGTCATGATGTTCCGCTGTGCCAAAGCGGTTTAGTCATGCTGCCCACATGACCCAGAAAGCTGTCTCTGGACCAACGTCTGCTTCCTTGGCCTGAAGCAAGATGAAGTCGCCTTTGACTGGACTTAATCATCCATGGGTTCTTTACCTTTACCTCTTCTAAAATGGGCGCTAATATTAAGATGTGGCTCATTGCAGAGACTTTTGCAAGAACTGTGGAAACTGTAGAAGTTACAGACAATCAAGAAAATAGTACTGCAGAGAGTGTTTAACAAGTCTGAAAAATCCCTACATTGCATGCATATAATTCATGAATAAATAAAGCCCTTTTTTGCACCAGAGTGTAAAGCACCACTCACACATGAACTATAAACAGCATAGTCAACACAGCATGGTCAACACTGTTTAAAGTTTAACTATAGGTAGAGAGCATTAAGCAGGCTGTAATGGTGCCTGGGAGAAAATATATATACTTAGTTAAGTCTGTACATCTCAGGGAAGCAGCATAAAATGTGTTGAAGGAACCTGGACCATCTTCTTGTTCTATTAGGCAAACTGCATGTAACAATGACTGTACTGAGGTGCATCATTGCTTTAATGAAAAATAGTGGAAGTTATACACAAGCTCCATTCATGCTGGATGCATTCTACTTGCCCTATTCATGGCAAGAACTTTCACTGAAACAGCTGATCTGTGGTGAAACACCTTGGCAATAGAGATGTTGCAGTCCTATTATATGAACCTGTCTTATTATTATTATTATTATTATTATTATTTATACTATGGCTTTGCTATTCAAGTGACAACACTCTCTCAAGGAAGCAATAGAATTCCTCAAGGCTTCAGTTAAGGAAATGAGTGAATTGGCAGTCATTGTATGAAAGTGCAATGTGATTTAAAAATGTGATTAAGGGTTACAAGCATGGCCTTATAGCAAAATGTGGCAGTTCTGTTCAGGTTGCCAGCCATTCCATTTGTTCTCCCTCCCCATTTCCCGTTTTTGTCCTATTTTGTGCCCTCTGAATATGCACCCTGTTTTTTTCCTTTTTCTGTTTTGGGCTCTCCCTTCCATTTTAAATTTTTTTTAAAAATTTGGGTGGGGGAAATGGACATACATTTGTCTAATTCCAGGTATGTTAGAACTATGTTTTACTCTCACTGGGTATAGAATGCTAACTGACTGCTGGGGGGGGAATCCCCCCCTAATATAATGGAGTGGCTGAAACCCCAAACGGAAGCCCCTCCACTTTGACAGGAGTGAAATGCTGCCACATGCACGTGAAGTGGAAGAGGAAATGGTTCACAACAACTGGAGAGCTGGATGATGCTGGGGGACCACTCTACAGAGTCTTCCACTACACAAGTCCTCATCTTAGCCATAGTGTTATCAGCAGTCATGCTTCTGGCTCTAATGCACTCAGAAAAATGGCAGCCCTCAAACAAAGTTTGCATTACTTAATGACAATATAGAATCTAAAAAGATACACCTCAGTTGTGTTGATAAACCTGACTTTTTATGCAAATCACAATCTGCAAATGATCAGGACCTACAATATTCTCTATTGATATCTGAAAAAATATTATTATTTCCAGGTCAGAATTGCAAGGGCTAGCCATATGGGGAGTGTTAGTGGGAAAGGAGCATGTTTGGTTCCTTTCCTGGTCATGCAGCGAAAGTGAACCCTTTTGTTTCTACTTATAAGTGGATGATTGTTATTTGCTGTTAAGAAAAAAAATCTATGGCCCCGGGAACACCGTCCCTATAGTTATAATGACTGTTAGCGTGCTAAGTTAGTGAACAATAATTGTTGTATTTATTAAGGGCTCTTGTATTTTGAAAATGCCCCCCCCCCATGACTTTACAAATGCTTTACAAAAAATTTACAAAAACAAAACGGTATTCTGGTAACTTAAATTAAGTTATAAAAATGGAATAGCCATCTAAATGATCAAATCAGTACAGTGGTACCTTGGGTTACAGATGCTTCAGGTTACAGATGCTTCAGGTTACAAACTCTGCTAACCCAGAAATAGTACCTCGGGTTACGAACTTTGCATCAGGATGAGAACAGAAATTGCGCGGCGGCAGCGGGAGTCCCCTTTAGCTAAAATGGTACCTCAGGTTAAGAACAGTTTGAGGTTAAGAACGGACCTCCAGAACAAATTAGGTTCTTAACCCGAGGTACCACTGTACATAAAAAATCATCTTACACTGTGTGTATTCTTGTTTTCCTAAGCAGTTTGGAAACTCCAACAATATTATGACGTTCTTTTTGAGTTTCTTTAACTGCAACACTATTGTCCCACTATTGTACATCTTGATGTGGCATGTGTGGTGAATTTAGAGGAAGAGTTTTATTTACTTACTTACATGCACAGAATTTATATACTGTATATTTATATACTGTAAAACTTCAAAGCAGTTTAAAGGAAAGCTTGTATATAACCAAAAACATATGTCTGTTACATGTAAAAATATACTTTGGCATCTTTCTTTGCAGGTTGTTCAGCAACAGTTATGAACTCTCGGTTACGAGCACTAGGTGGGAGAATAAATAACATTCGAGCATCAGAACTACCAAAGGAACGCACCCGATCTGAGATCATTTGCAGTGTCCGCTTTTTGGATGGCTCAATGCAAAGCTTCAAAGTTAGTGTAAGTCTTGGGATTTTGAAATGTGTGATATCTGTAAAGCATGGGGCCCCTGTATTTTGGGGTTTCTGGTCCAATTTGGAAACTTGAGAAACTGTTGCATATCAGATATTTGATCCTTCACTGCACAACATCAACTTCACAAAAGCAAATTGGTTCTGAAAAACTGCTGCTAAAACTCCTTCCTTTTCCAATTTTGGCATGGTAACATCCTTAATAGATGGTTTCTTAAAGCAGTCAAATACAACATCTGTTGTGGTGCAACATTCATTGAAACTGGACAATATACTCACTTTAAACAAGTCTGCTTAGTTTTCAAAGGTCACTACATCCTTGGGTTTCCCATGGTCTGAATTACGGCCATACCATCCATTACAGAACATGTTAGAATCCAGGTTTCTTTCAAACTTAGCTGTGAAATATTCTCTTCTTGTTGACAGTGATAGTGGCATAGTCCACATCTCTTGCTTCAAGAGGTTAATGACCTCAATAGACCTGCCAGCGTCTATGGATGAAAGGTCACAATCAGTTCAGATAGCTGAGGTATTTTTTTTTTTTAATGCTAACCACTGCATATATGGAAGAAATATTTTGTTAACTTTTTCTTTGGATTTGGTGCATGTAGGTTGACAGTTTATCAGCGACAAATGTCTGCAGTTTTTTATTTATGTGCATTCAGCACATCATGTGTAATTGGCTCTTGGGGAATGTCTGGTGATCGAATCATGCAATGTCTATAGCTTTTACCATTGAGAGTATTGTATTATACTGGACAACCTGGAGAGGTACTTGAAATGAAGCTTCTGTCTTATTTGTGCCAAAATTGGGTTGGAAAATGGTATGTAGGCCAGGAATATCAGCATGTCAGCTAGTGTGATAGTTCAGTTCCGATATTTCTTCCCCATGGACACTTCTGTAGAAAGGAACTGTTTGAGATGCATGGAAGGTCCCCTTCCCACCTGTTATTTCCTCAAAATTAGAAGGTCCACTTCCCAGCCTCTGTTCTCATTAACGTGTCTCATGTAGTCTGAAAGCAAATCATGTCTGAAATTCATTGGGGCAATTACCGTTATATTTCCATGTGCTAAGAATCTTGGGGTTATTGCTGCTGTTACGGTACTTTTCTGGGGCTATTGCTGCTGAGACAGTACTTTGAACACACTCAGTATTGAATGTGGACCAAGATACCTGCCAAGTGACAACTTTATAATGCAATGTGCAGATTTGTTTAAAATTGAGAAAATTGTTGGATAGTAAGGAGCTCAGCATCCTGTCATGGCATATACTGTTCCTTAGAATTCTCTTCTGGTTCATATGCTAATCAGAGAGAAAGCTCAGAATGTGAAACCAATATATCCTTAGAATCATAGAATTGTAGAGTTGGAAGGGACCCTGAGGATCACTGAGCCCAGCCCCCTGCAATGCAGGAAAATGCAGTTGTCCCATATGGGGATCAAACCTGCAACCTTGGTGTTATCAGCACCACGCCCCAGCCAACTAAGCTATCCGGACTCCTTGATAAGGATGGGTGCTCAAACCCAACTTCCAGGTACTGCTTTCGTACTTAGATATGGAGTTAACCCTGCCCTTACCATCACTTTGAAGTCAATGCATAGTTGAAGCGCTTGTCGTAGCTCCAAGCCTCAGTCACGAAACTCGGACTCTCAGCTCAAGGAAACCTGCAAGCTTTGTTCAAAAAGTCAGTGCATGGTCTCAGCATTAGTACACAGTTCTTAAGTCTATAAGCAGAGCTCTAAAATTAATAGCCAAATCAGTAGCTGAGATGTCCCAACACTTGACATGCCCTTCCTGCTCAACTGTTGAAGACAGAAACTTGACTCAAGTGAGAAGACTGTGCTTGCAAGTGCACTCCTGCTGGAGGACCAGTACTGTTGTGCTGATGCAGTTGGCAGCATATCCTTAGCAACAGGACCTGAGTCACAAGGGACCCATGATAGCACTTACTGTGGAACTGTTAGGACATCAGATGAGTTGTTGAGCGCCAGAATGCTTCAGAAACGGAGGCAGAGCAGTGTGGAAAGTTATTTCTTTTGATATAAAATATTTGGTTGGTACTTGGTTGGAGCATTATTTCCTTTCCCTTCTTAAAATTTAAAAAGATACCTGGATATGCTCTCAGGCTATTTGAATGCTGACCTGTTGATTTTTAATTTTTTTAAAGAAGCACATTCTTTAGACATAGTATTCATGTAGGAGATGGTTGCTAACTAATGATTGTATAGGTCTGCTTACAGGAGGTGTGTTTGTATACAGCATTCCCCCCCCAAAAACAATTCTGTTTATATGTAATACAGGTACATATTCATTCACATAATTCATTCATTCACATAATCGGGCACTGGAAGGCTCCTTTGGAGAGGTTTGTGACCTCCCCTCTTCCCCCAAACCCCGTTATTTAGGAGAAATGTTATGGAATATTAGGAGGAATATTATGGCATTTTTAAGACTGCACATTTAAGCCCAGTTTGTCAGTCTGCTGAATGCACCTCATGAAGGCAGCTGTAGCCTACAAATAGTTGTTTTGTTTATGCCACAAACATAAACATACGGTAAGTCTGACATCTTTTTGTTTTATTCTGATGAATCTCCAATATTGGAGTCCCATTATCTGTATTTACACAAGAAAACACTCTTGAGAGGACATGGCACCCATCAAGGGAGAGAGGGTGGATGGTGCTTACATTAATCTTTTAAAGTTTTAAGAAGTTCTCAAATTCTGGATATTAAAAGGATTGCTCCAATGAAATTAGGGATGTCCTAAGGAAATTTACATAGCTTGTCATAGTAAATATGGCATCCCAGGTGCCCAGAACCTTTCATGTAACAGGATTTTGAAGGCTCAGCTATACAGGCAGTCCTGCAAAAAATATTATCTTGTGAATGGAGTATTCATAAGCACACTGCTGGAGAGGTAAAAAAAAAATTGTTTGAGAATTAGTTAATCTGGTGTAAGAAAGTGGGCAGGCTCTGGCTTGCGGCTGAGTTATAAACTGTTTATGAAGAGAGCTTGACATTCAATTTAATAATGATAGCAGTTCTTCCATTTATTCCTAGTAGTAATTTCACTTTTATATGTAAATGTTAGTGAAGCTACATTTTTAAAGCACTCTGTGTGGCAAAGATTAGCTTTCTAAATACTTTTACTTTTATTCTGCAGAAACAAGATACTGGTCAGGTGTTGTTGGATTTGGCCTTTAATCACTTGGGTGTGACAGAGAAGGAATATTTTGGTTTGCAGCACTGTGAGGACTCAGCAGATTCAACAGTAAGGAAACATATTCATATTCAAGATTTTTTTTAAAAAAAAATGCAGTCAGAAAGCTTCCTAACTTTGTTTTTTTAAAAAATATTTGCAGAGATGGCTTGAATCTGGTAAACTTGTTCGGAAACAGCTAAAAGGTAATGCTTTAAAATTTCTTGCTTTAAAATCTCATATGACTCGGGATTCTAGTATAATGAGAGAGGAAGAAAAAATTCTCTCTGTCCACTTTTCCCACTTGCTGCATAATTCATGCCCCACTTTGCCTTTTCTCTAAAATAAAGCCTCCATAGGGTAGTTGCTTCAGACCCATAATAATTCTGGTCTAGTATTTCTGAACTTCAGTTCTGTATTATCCTTGCTGAGGTGTGGTGACCAGAACTGTACACATTATTCAAAGTGTTAATAGAAATATAGAATTGTAGAGTTGGAAGCAACCTAGTTCAACCCTTGCTAAAGCATCCATGACAGGTGGCCACCCAACCTTTGCTTAAAAACCTCCAATGAAGGCAGTCCCATAACCTCACAAGGGAGTCCGTTCCACTGTCTAACAGCTCTTACTGTCAGAAAGATATTCCTGATGTTTAGTCAGAATCTCTTTCCTTGTAACATGAATCCATTGGTTTGTGTCCCAACTTCTGGAGTAGGAGAAAACAAGCCTGCTTGTTCCATGTGACAGCTCTTAAGATATTAGAAGATGACTATCATTTCTTCTCTCAGTCTCCTCTTTTCCAGGCTAAACACACCCAACTCCCTCAAACATTTGTCTTAAGGCTTGGCCTCCAGACCCTTGATCTTTTTGGTTGACCTCTTTTGCACATGCTCCAGCTTGTCAATATCATTCTTAAAATGTGGTGCCCAGAACTGTATACCACGTGTGGTCTGTCTAAGGCAGAGTAGAGTGGTACTATTGCTGTGAGAGGCAGTGGAAGACAGGAGTGCCTGGCGTGCTCTGGTCCATGGGGTCACGAAGAGTCGGACACGACTAAACGACAACAACATTGCTTCCCTTGGTCTGGATACTATACTTCTGTTGCTGCAGCTTTTTTTGTTGTTGCTTCAGACTGTTGACTCATGGGTCATTCCATGCCAAAGCACCTGATTTAAATGTTTGACCGTGCTCTCTCGTCTCAGATTTTCTTCAAAAATTTTTTAGGAGATAACCTCAAATTAATTTTTTTAGATTTGTTGGTCCAAAATTGGGCGCAGAATTTTTTTAAAATTTCAGTTTTCCCACAATTTAGGCTAATGCAATTTCTGTGTGAATTTAGAAAAAAACCTCCTGTTTCGCTTATTTTTCAACTGATTGGGCTTATTTTTGTATCAAAATAAAGCTAATGTGGTCTCTTTCAAAATAAGTTATAAAAATTGTATTAAGTGCCACAGAAAAGGGTCACCGACCATTCAAAGTGAATTTTTGTCATTTTATTCCCTGTAAGTTTGATAAGCCATAGTGTGCAAACCACAACTAACAGGTGTATCATAATTTTGTTGTAGAATGGACTAACCACGTAGTTGTTATGTTTTAAAAATAAGGAGCGTGTTTTTGTGGTTATAAAATTAATTGATTTTGAAGTAAATTTTTTTACAAAAAATAATAATTGTACAGATTTAAGATCTCTTTGAGCCTGAAATAACTCACAATTTCGTGAGAATAGTTAAAATTGTACCCTCTTATGTTATAATGTCATCTGATATATTTTAAAAAAATAAGTTTTATTGGTTATTTAATAAAAACAAAATACGTCTCAGAGCCCTTGCTATAAAATTAATTGGATTTTACAATTTACTATTCAATCAAATAACACAATGTGACATTTGTCATATAAACAAAAAATAAAAAACTTCCCCATGACTTCCCTCAGCTTCCCTTTCCGGTTCTTTAAATATTTATTACTTCTGCTTAATTTTTGTTTTATTTTTATGATCTTATACAATATACTTAGGGACGCAGGTGGCGCTGTGGGTTAAAGCCTCAGCACCTAGGACTTGCCGATCGAAAGGTCGGCGGTTCGAATCCCTGCGGCGGGGTGCGCTCCTGTCGTTCGGTCCCAGCGCCTGCCAACCTAGCAGTTCGAAAGCACCTTCGGGTGCAAGTAGATAAATAGGGACCGCTTACTAGCGGGAAGGTAAACGGTGTTCCGTGTGCTGCGCTGGCCTGCCAGAGCAGCGATGTCACGCTGGCCACGTGACCCGGAAGTGTCTCCGGACAGCACTGGCTCCCGGCCTATAGAGTGAGATGAGCGCACAACCCTAGAGTCTGGCAAGACTGGCCCATACGGGCAGGGGTACCTTTACCTATACAATATACTTAAATTCTCATCATTTTTATACCAAATTTTCTTTTGTAATTACATCTTGCACTTAATTACATTCCATATTATTATTTCTTGACCTTTAAACTTCACAATCAATTTATACTCTATTCTAGAAAGAACAATTATTTGAGTTAATCCAGAAAATGTACAATTTGTGTAGTTAGAGTATGCAGATTGAAGCTATTGGCACTTATGACTATCTTAGATCCCATTGATTTCAGTGAGTCTGTTCTTAAGTATGACTAAATCTGGAGCTAATCCTTCGGGGGGTTTTAAAAATCAAATTACATTAACATTTTTATTGAAGTGTTCCTGTGAACTGAGGTTTTACATAAATGACATATTGACTTTTTGTTTAAGTTTGTTTTAGAAGGTAATTTCATGTCATTGTATATGATATTTTTATTAATCTAAATATAGATGAAGAAATCATGTACACTGATTTTAATTTTGTAAAATATTCTAGGTGGTTTCCCTTGTAGCCTGCATTTTCGAGTAAGGTTTTTTATACCTGATCCGAACACACTGCAGCAGGATCAAACCAGGTAAAAGTTCTGTGGTTATGTTTTAAGAACTGCTGACATCTCACATATCCTAGTATTATCAGTAAAACACCAGGTTTACAGTCTTTTATCTATGGTTGGCACATAAACACCTGTATGATATAATTGTAAATTTAAAGTTGGTTGTTAAAGAACCTCAGAATATGCACCGGTAGATAAATACGACAATAGCAAAATGCTGTGTGTATTGGTCATCCGGTGTCAATTTAGACAAGAGCTGTTTATATTCAGCATGCCTTTTCTTAGTTTTAAATGTTGCAGGAGTTAGGTTTTCAATTTAGGTAATAATTAATCCTTCTCACAAATGTAGGAAAATGCTGCTTCTGCTCTAACCACAAAATGGTTTTAGCAGAACCTGTAAGATTAAATAGTTAAGGGATGCTGGAATAATACGCCCCCTTAGCAATATCCATCTAACTGCAATGGCACCATGAAGTGCAGAGTGCTCCAAAAATGTATAAGAATATATTGTTTATTATTATCAATAGGGGATATAAATTGTGAGCATTCTAGCATGATAGAATGTGCTCTTTGTTGCTGTTGTTTAGTCATTTAGTCATGTCCGACTCTTCGTGACCCCATGGACCAGAGCACGCCAGGCACTCCTGTCTTCAGGAGAATGTGCTCTAGTGGAGCATTAATAATATTTGTTGGAGGTAATTAGATCCACACAGAATTATGGATTTGTGAAGTATAAGCTTAGTTATTTTTAGTGTTTTAAGATCAGGGAACTTTTTTTTAGTTTCAGGGCCACATTTCGTCATGGGCAACCTTCCCAGGGCCATATGCCCAGGATGGGAAGTGCCAGAGGAAAAAGTGGGTAAACAACAGATTTGACTCCTGTTTTTTGTAGTGTAGACTACATTCTAGACACAAAAAGCAAGGTATCTACATACACTTATCTTTCCACCCACAATCCATGCCACCAGGAGGCACTGTCACAGTTCACGGACACGCTCAGATGTTGAACTTCTAATTTATGTGTATAATCATCTTAATTGTCTCTATATTTATAGGGTGTCAAAGTAAATTAGGAAATATATGTTAAAATTACACAGATTCACAAGAGGCTTGATTAGTGAGATGTAAGAACTATTTTCAATTTGTTTTTTAGACATTTATTCTTTCTGCAATTGAAGGCTGACATTTTGGAAGGAAGGTAAGAAATCTTTATTAAAGTAGTTTGACTGGTTAGCTGTTGAAACACTCCAGGTTAAAAGTGGGGAAAAACTTCTCCATTGTGTTAAGAGGAAGAATGTCAAAAAAATTTAGTGTCTTTAAGCTTCTGTAGGAATTGAGTTTCATAAGGTATACATATTGAGTTAGATTTGCGTCCAGCACACTTCCCTGTGCCTCTGAGCCTTTGGACTTCTCCCTGGCTCCAAGCGGTGTGTGCCTTGTGTAGGTGCAATAAGTAACAGTCCACACGCCAGCTTCTTCCTAATCTAAAGAAGCTGTAATGTATGTACAGCATAGCAAAAATAAATCATCCGGGAGATGGAGCAGACATCCTCCCAGTTTGTCAGCGGAAAAGGAAAGTAACTCACACACAAAGAACAAAAAACATTCCCCTATGTGAATAAGCCACACCTCAGTAGGTAGGGACGACACACAGAACTGTTTAACCCTGTAAGTTCTGATTCTCCTCACAATACAAGACTTATAACTGAGTTGCTAAAGGGGGCACTATATAAAGTTCATTAACCCATTGCAAATTTTCTCCTAAGTAAGCATTCTTCAAAGGGCACTGCTACTCATGTAAAATAACTTTGCGTGATAGGCACAGCGTGTGGGAGAGTTGTCTTTTGTGGACCTATGAAGCTACAACATAAGTTAACTTTTATTCAATATTTCTAGTATGTTGACAGTAAAACAATAGCAGATCTGTTTCACTGGTACATCTGACTGTTCATAATTTTCATTTTCAATATGTTGGATAGCTTTACCCAGTTTTTAATAAGTGTAAATTTGTTCTTGATTTCCAAAACAAATGTGAAACATAATTACCTATTTTTAAGGTTGTTGTTGTGAAATGTGTCACTACAATGTGCTGGTGTTCCAGGTAGGTATGCTGTAAAGATTGTGGATGCATTCACACAGTATTGTCTCTCTCAGCTGCCTGAAAGGTGCTTTAGGCATGAAATACGGGAGAAAAACAAAATAAATAAAATTGCTTTTGTATATGAAAACACCTTGATCTGATGAAGGGGTAATAGTTTTAAAGTTAGAAACCATAGTTTTAATAACAAATTACAATAATTGCCATAGATATTTTGTGATGCTTGGTGGATGTGTAAGTGCATTCTAAATATATTGGCATATAATGTTTGAGCTGTGACATTTACCTATAGTTCAGACAGAATGTTATCAACATATTTCAATTTTTCCTTTCAGGTTGTTATGCCCTGTTAATTCAGTTGTGGTACTTGCATCATATGCAGTTCAGTGTAAGTTGTGATGTATATTAGTAAAATATTTGGTCCTATTTCACTATTTCTTTGGTCCCTATTGGTCTGTACTCCAGTCAGATACACACACACACACACACACACACACACACACAGACACATATATATGCTAGTTTCGTAACAGGCTCATCACTGTTTTGGAATCTTTAGCTCTTATTCTTGGAAAATATTACAAAGCTTGTCTGAGAATGGAGTTCTCCCTGAACAGATCAGGTTTGGTGGTAAAGCATTTCTGCTATCTAAGTAAGATTGTGTTTATATAAATGATAGTGAGAAAATATCTAACAAAAAAAGAAGAGGGGGGAGTGAAGGAAAAATACAGCTTCCTTGGAGATGTTACTGCTGATCTGAAAGTTATAGTTCTTCAATAATTGAAGAAGAAGAAGAAGAAGAAGAAGAAGAAGAAGAGTTTGGATTTGATATCCCGCCTTTCACTCCCTTTAAGGAGTCTCAAAGCGGCTGACATTCTCCTTTCCCTTCCTCCCCCACAACAAACACTCTGTGAGGTGAGTGGGGCTGAGAGACTTCAAAGAAGTGTGACTGGCCCAAGGTCACCCAGCAGCTGCAGGTGGAGGAGCAGAGACACAAACCTGGTTTCCCAGATTATGAGAAAAAGGTGTTATTAATAAGATATCCAAAAAAAAATGCCGCCACCACAATTTTTGGGCTGTGAAGGAAGAATAGGGAACACACTTTCCTGCAACTGTTGTCATATACAATGTCAGTATTGGGAAAGGTGAGCATACTTAGTCCAAAAAGGCTTGTCTGTCCCATCTCCGAGGCCTGGTGGGTTTAATTAGGCCCCACCACCTGCATGGTCAATGTCATTCAAATTTGCTTATCCGTAATAAACGTTTGATGGTTTTAGCATAGAGGCTGAGAGAGAGAGTGGTTTTTCTTAAGGTCACCTAGAGTGCAGTCCTCTGCACAAGATTCATAGAATTGTAGGGCTGGAAGGGACCCTGCATTGCAGGAATATGAAACTGCCCCATATGGGGATCGAACCTGCAACCTTTGTGTTGCAGCACCACACTCTTAACCAGCTGAGCTAACCAGCTGGTGCCAATGTTTACTCCAAAATAAAAAAATGGTATGTGGGAGATTTTCCATTTACCTTGCTTGGAAAGTGTTAATGTTAAGCAAACTTTATTCAAGTTAATGTTTAACTATTCAACGTTGTGTCTAAACTTGTTAGCATGATCAGTTTGACCTGCTATCAAATTTCAGCAGTCTCTGCACTAACAGCATATACAAGGAACATTATTAGCCAAGTAAATGTTTATACTGTGCAGCCTTAGTTCTGTTTTTAAAGTTACAGTAGTTGCCATTGATTCAGAAAGCTAGCTATGTAGAGACTTTATCAATAGTTAACAGTTCCTATTTCAGAGAGGTTATGAATGCCTATTCACATAATGTTGAGGACCTTTAGTTGTTTGGAACAGTTGGAGTTGCTGCTCAGGACAATTTCTGGGTTGTCTGGATTGACAAATCATAGTAGTTGCCACCTCCATCGGTGTTGTGCTGCCTCTAAGAACTTCTGCAGGGTGGAGATGGGAGTGCAGAAAGATGGAATATGACTGACAGGATGGAAAACAGAAAATAGTTCAGTTTAGTTTCAGTTGCAACTGAGGTTATTCCAGTTTGGTTCCAGTTGAGCCCTCTAAAGGTTCACTAACCAGTTCAGAGCATAGTTCAGTTCATATGAGAATATTTAAATATAAAAGTACATTAAGCCATTATTATTTAAACATTTAAATAATATTTAATATTTAAATATAAGGCCACACTTGAAATACAGTACAGTAAGCCCTCAACTTACACAGATTTAACTTGTGTGTATTCAACTTTATGCACTTGAGAAAAGTTTTTTAAAAATTAAAAAGGGGGCAGTTAAGTCCAGGAAAAAAGACTTTGGAGCCAATGTGTGGTTTTTTTGTTGTTGTTTTTTGCAAATTAATTTTTTATTGATTTTCAGTAAACATACATACATTCATTTATGAATGTGTTTTAACTAATACAGTGGTACCTCGGGTTAAGTACTTAATTCGTTCCGGAGGTCCGTTCTTAACCTGAAACTGTTCTTAACCTGAGGTACCACTTTAGCTAATGGGGCCTCCTGCTGCCGCCACCGCCCGATTTCTGTTCTCATCCTGAAGCAAAGTTCTTAACTTGAAGCACTATTTCTGGGTTAGCAGAGTCTGTAACCTGAAGCGTATGTAACCTGAAGTGTATGTAACCCGAGGTACCACGGTATGTGATTATGGTTTCAGGCATCATCCCTGGAACATAACCCCCAAATATGTTGTGGGCTTACTGTACCTTCTTTTTTCAAAGGGCAGGGGGAATACAGAATGTCCTCTTCTCAGTTTCACATGTTTTGGCTCCATAATTTTCTCCCTGCTTGTTCCAGTTGTCTTAAAACATGATACTTCCTGCATTTGACAATCAAAGCAGAATAATTCTCAACTGGTTTTAAAGCCAGAAGGAACCTCCAATCCTAAATATGAATGGGATCTCAACTGGTTTGATCGTTTCATGGTGGGAACTTTACAGATCTGTGACATAGAGGATTACTACAAACAACTGGATATTCTGTGGAAATCTAGGACCAGCAGCAGATTGAACTAGGTTTTTAATTCCTAATGATAGGGCTCTTTTGAGTTCAATTTTAAATGCAACTTTTAAATTCAGTTAATTTAAATTCAGTTTAACGTAATTTGTATGCTGCTTTATCATCAAAGGTATCAAGCATTTTTATATAAAATATACATTGAAAAGGCTGATTTTATGAAATAGTGAAAATTAACCTTTTATTAAACTAGGTAACATAATAGAGGGCCTAAACTGTTAAATCTATGACTCTTACTTAGAAATGGGTGTCTGCCAATCCATAAAATCACTGCTCTTTGTTTACATTTAGGACTGTTCATTACCTTTGATTTTAGGTATACTTCCTGTCTCTGACCCTTATTCATCTTTGAACCAAGTATTGCGTTGGCATGCTATTCCTATCTGTATTTTCTCACATATCTCAATGGAAGAAAGTGGAGCAATATTATGAACTTCTGTAGGAGTTACGTGACATTATTCATTCTGCCATTTGTGTAGAGTAAGATTTTGTTAAGCACCTTTGCATTTGCATTAAGAAAACAATTATCATGTGTGTTCTTTTATTTCTCATCCCGCCACCCACCCACCTACCCCAAAAAAGCTCAGCTTGGAGACTACAATGGTTCCACCCATCTTCCAGGATACCTTTCAGAGTATTGCTTTATTCCAGAGCAAAATCAAGATTTCACAACCAAAGTTGAATCGCTGCATGAACAGCACAGGTATTGTTTTCTGAAATAGTAATATATACAGTGGTACCTTGGGTTACATACGCTTCAGGTTACAGACTCCACTAACCCAGAAATATTACCTCGGGTTAAGAACTTTGCTTCAGGATGAGAACAGAAATCGTGCAACGGCAGCGGGAGGCCCCATTAGCTAAAGTAGTGCTTCAGATTAAGAACAGTTTCAGGTTAAGAACAGACCTCCATAACGAATTAAGTTCTTAACCCGAGGTACCACTGTATTGTGATATATACATAAATGGATAATTTGCATGAAGTATAGAATTTAAATGTGATTCAGATTATTAATTCACAGCATATTGTATATTCAGACTTCATACTGTAGGCTCCCAGTAATTGGCAAATATATGTTAGTTCTTGGAGTATAAGACACATTAATAAAAATGGTTCCAAATGTGGGGATTTTTATATTTTTTAGAAATTTGGCAGCCCCAAACCTGTATGCATGAGATACCCAGATGTGCTGGGTGAACTGATGACTATTAAGTGACATTGGTTCTACTTACACACCGGAGAGAATAGGTACCAAAAATTCTGGAAATTTTGAGTTTTCCTAAAAGTTTTGGCTGCTAATTTACTACTCTATTTCTGCTTCAAAATAGGAGTGCATCTCATTGTATGACAATACTAACACTCAGTTTCATTATATGGGAAACAAGTCCTTTGATTTTTGGAGGTACATAGATCTGCCCCCAGTAATAGAAACTTAAACTGTAGTTGTATTTCTACATAATGACTGTAGGTGAATCCATCATGAGATTACCCAATGATTGAAAGGTGGAAAAAGAGTTCATATTTTTCTTTGAATGTGTACCTTGAATTGATTTTCATAATGGTACTTAAAGTTTCTGTTATAGATAAATTACTTTCCAATTAGGATTTTATTGCCTTTAATACCTTATTGGTTTTTTCCCCTAGGGGCCTCAGTCAGTCAGAAGCAGAGTCCTGCTACATTAATATAGCAAGAACACTTGAATTCTATGGAGTAGAATTACACAGTGGTAGAGTATGTTTACAGTTCTTTTTTATATTTAGAGCAACTTGTACTTAAACTTATTTTTTTTAAAAATCATACATACCTTAATATTAAAATAGCTAAGATAGAGGAAAATGCTCTTTTTTGCACCTAAAGCAGCTAAGCATAAAAAACTTCTATTTCTTATACACCTTTATAACTTAGTTTCTTAAGCAGGACTTGTTGTCCTTTACTTTTAACCATGTTAAAATATGGATTTGAGAAAAACTTGCAATATTGCCAATTCTCACCTGAGATTTTAATATATTCTTCTGCCTTTTTTATTTATAATTGACATTGCAAGAAGCATTCTCGGTGGCATGAGTCAGTTGCTTCTATAGAAAGCTTCAGTTAAGCTACAGTTTTAGACTGAAATGTTTACTTGCATAGTATGGGCTGCCTTGGAATTGGGTGCTCAGCAGGATTTTTGTGACGTGTGTGTATGTATGCATGTTTCTGGGGAAACACACCCTCCCAGTCCTCACCATATTGCCAACTGTTTTTGAAAGTCCTTTCAGTTTTAAATTTGGGGTTGCTATGTGGTGAAGAATTCCTGTTTGAGGAAACACCAACTTTAACTTTCCTTCCATATGCAGACATAGTCATCCATTTCTTTGGATTTCAACTCCAGTAAATGGCATCATAACCAGCACCCACTGACATCTAAGCTACAATGCATACTCACAGTAATAACAGCATGCAAAAACTCTGGCATATCTGGTATTTGTGTGTTTTAATTAAGCAAGTCTGGGTTGTTTCTCCCAAATACAGAAATTGGTCAGCTCCTTTTTATGTAAGACATCCAGTTCTTTATCCCCCATCACACAGAGAGAAATTCAGAGTCACACTTCAATGTATCCATTTGTAGAATAGGATTCTTAGTGCTTTAATTTACCAGTTTTTCCTGTGGTTCTTACTTTTAGGATCTTCATAATCTTGATCTTATGATTGGAATTGCTTCAGGAGGTATTGCTGTATATAGGAAACTCATTTGCACAAGCTTCTATCCTTGGTAAGATACTTGGGGTGTGGGTGGGTGTATAAAGTTTTAAGACTGAACATGAAAATAACAAATCTCTCATTTTTAAATAATACCCATAAAGACCACTACTGAAGATGGAAGGTGTTGAGATTGAAGTCTATTTAGAAATCCAGCCCTCTAATGCTTGGTGTGTGGAACTGAGCCATGGTTACATGTGAAGTTGCTTCTTACTGAGTCACATCACTGGTCTATCTAGTCTCATTTATTTTCTACTGTGACATCTTTATCAGCCTCACTATCTGAAATCATTTTTAGTTGGATATTCTACTGTCGTGTGTTTTGGATCTTGTGCATGCAAAGGTTGTTGTTTACCACTGAGCTACGCCCCTTCCTATTGTTTGTTTCTGAGCTGAGCTGCTCTGCAAATGCTCAGGCATTCTCTTTAATATCATTATTACTTAATACTTTTGTTCAGGTTATAAATTTCCCCCTATTATACCTAGAGAGAAATCAGGAGTTGGGTTTTTGATCTCAGGTGCTTCTCCATCGTTCTTGTCCCCACAGACGGCAGTGACCAACTGAACTGGGAATCCAGTGTTGTTTGAACATTGAAACTTGGTGACTCTGAGAAACAAAATCAGTGTTAGAACTTAAGGCTTGCTTTTGTTTTCCCCCAGATACATTTATTTTGACAGCAGGAGATAATTTCTGAACCAGACCCCAAGTAATTGCTGACTCACATTAAACCTTGAAGGTGTTCTGCAAAACCCCAAATCAATTTGGAGAAGATACATCCACTTTGATACCTCTGGAGCAAATAGTTATTGTGTTAGATCTAATGTTATTGACTTGAAACTCTTGTATAATTCAAGTGAGCAATATATATATCACAATATTCAAACCAGATTAAGGGACATTAAAAAACGAAACATCAAATCAGCTGTAAATAAAATGTTTAAATATCTGCCCTTGATAAAAGTTGAGGGGAAATATTCAATTGGGCTAACATAAAGGCCCTACGTTGGACTGAAATTATTAATTTTGAAATAAAATAAAATAATAAAATAAATAAAAAGCCTTACCAGTTGCAAGAACAGAAAAAATCATGATTGCTGGGGTACATAAAGGGTAAAGGGACCCCTGACCATTAGGTCCAATCGCGGACAACTCGGGGGTTGTGGCGCTCATTTCACTTTATTGGCCGAGGGAGCTGGCGTACAGCTTCCGGGTCATGTGGCCAGCATAACTAAGCTGCTTTTGGCAAACCAGAGCGGCGCATGGAAATGCTGTTTACCTTCCCGCCGGAGCAGTACCTATTTATCTACTTGCACTTTGACGTGCTTTCAAACTGCTAGGTTGGCAGAAGCAGGGACCGAGCAACAGGAACTCACCCCGTCGCGGGGAATCAAACCACCGACCTTCTGATCAGCAAGCCCTAGGCTCTGTGGTTTAGACCACAGCGCCATCCGCGTCCCGGTGGGGTACATAATCATGTTTCTTTTCCATGTCAATTTTCTCTGTGTTCATTCATAAACCAATTCTTTCCCATTAATCTGTGATTTTTAAAAAATTATCACAAAATAAAGTTGTGCCACAAAATTCAGAGAAGTGCAAAATCCAAAGTATAATTACGTTTTAATCTGCATGTCATCTACAGCGTGCAGATCAGGTCAGTTTGCATTGGAATTCACAAATACCAAATTCCTCAGGCATTCATACTGATTGCAATAGGAAGCTTGTTAGTACTTCTGTGGACAGCCCATTATAATGGAATGTGCCACACCTGTAACCCATGGATGTGCACAGCAACCTTTTAGATTGAGGAATGCAAAGAATGGTTGTTCCTAGACTCAGGTCTGTCTTTTGATGGGCATGTAGTCCAAGCTTGCTTGACAGTATTGTCAGCTGGTTTTGATGGATGAGGCTTGTTAGAGCAGAGCGTAGGAGTCTTGTCAGGAATTGTGCAATCCAATCCAATCCTGTTTCCTAGAAACAATTGTTTGTGTTGTGAAATTGCGGACTGCACCCAATACCTTTAGTGTGTAATTACCTCTATTTTATTTCCATGCAAAATTTGAAAGTAACATTTTTATTGCTTACCTACAAATTGTAAGGATATTGCTTGAGTGGATTGCACAGGAAAGCACTTTTGAATGTAGCCTCTCCCTTTCATTTCAAATTTTGCTTCAAGCTTATGGTAGTGATAATGATTTTCTGAGAAATGAGAATGTTTTAGTTAATTATAGCTACGTATTTTTCGCCCCATAGGGTGCACCGCCTCATAGGGCACACCTAGTTTTTTTGGGGGGGAAATAAAAAAAATATTTCCCCCCCCAGGCGCAGGGCTGGGGCGGGGGAAGCCCGAGTTTCCCCCAACCCCAGCCCCCAGAACAGGCTGCTCTCTGCAAGCCGTGGGAGCCCTCCCACGGCTTGCGGAGAGCTACCTGAAGCCCGGGGCGCGACTGCTCAGCGTGCCCCAGGCTTCGGGATAGAGGCAGCTCTCCGCAAGCTGTGGGAGGGCTCCCGTGGCTTGCCAGAGCTACCCGAAGCCCGGGGCGTGACTGTTCAGCGCGCCCCAGGCTTCGGGATAGAGGCAGCTCTCCACAAGCCCTCTCACCCTCCAGGCTTCAGCGAAAGCCTGCATTCGCCCCATAGGACGCACACACATTTCCCCTTCATTTTTGGAGGGGGAAAAGTGCGTCCTATAGGGCGAAAAATACGGTAGTTACTTAGATTTTAGTTCCTGTTTTAGATATAATGGAGCCCTTCTGAATAGTGTGACAAGGTGTGGGGCTGCTGACTGGGGTGGAGGTAATTTCCCCTTCCCCAGCAACATCCCACATGGTTCAGGAGGGCCTCTCGATTCTGCAGAAAGGCTTGAGAGGGAATGGGAGAAAGGAAACTTCCCTTATGTGAACCTTCTAAGTTAACTTAATTTACAATCCAAGCATTGAGTCTGATGTGCATTATTGTACCTGTATTTTCTATCAATGTTTGTTTTGATTGTGTTATGTTTTTAGAGTATGATATAGTATAACTTGTTCCTTTTCAGGGTGAACATAATAAAAATTTCGTTTAAACGAAAGAAGTTCTTTATCCAGCAGCGACAGAAACATGTGAGTATAGTTTGTTTCTCCCAGCCACCCCACCCCTAGACTTTTTTACAATTAACCTCCAATCTTGCCACAAGATGAAGCAATGAATTAAAGGCCATGTCTATGAGTTGGAAAACAAGGTGTACAGAGATCCTTCTTATGGTGCATATTTCATAATACATTGATGATATGTGAAGCTAATTGCTGTAGAGGCGATTGATGTTTGGACGGAATACTTGATCAGAGATTTTCTTCCTACCCTGTGCCCTGCACCTGTTTTTTCATTCAAAGAAAAGATGTAATAAGATCTGATCATTAATTTGATCAAGTCAGCATGGTAGTCGGCTTAATTAACAGCAACTGTGCCTCTGTGGGAACACATGAATTCAAGGTTCTAGCTATCAGAGCTTCTAATTAGCTGGGAATCTCTGGGTCAGTTGCTGGGCCAGTTTCTTGGGTTATTCCTTTATTCTATGCTTCACACTGTGCTGCTTGTTCCTGTTGTGTGGGGCCATGTACCTTGCAGGCTAGATCAGCTAGGTTTGTTGTTTTATTCTGACTTGTATTTTTATGCACTGTAAATAAAACACCTCACTTAAATTTGGTGTGCTCTTTTCTGGAAATCCTGGGTCCCTAATTGCAGTGTTTTGGACTTCATGGTTAACTGCTTCTGTATAGTGTAATTGCCTGAAGCCTAGAGGGCAGAGTGGATTTGCAGAATTTGGTTGGAAGGCTCTGGTTTGATTTTTGTACCGACTTAAGCCAAATAAGTTTCCTGACTCCCTAAGCTTGGTGGCCAGACAGTGTTAACATTATTGACATAATAATAGTTCATTGATAGCTGATTTGTTCTGCTTTAATGGTGGTTGTCCAATGCTTCCCTAATGCTACTGCAGTATTGCTGTTCCTGAAGAGCCATAGGGGCCTATAGCATAACAAAAGCCGGCCAGTACCCCTCACTCCCCCATATATTTGTGGCATGAGAAGTTATGCTATTTCAGCAGGCTGTTGCAGGATATGCATTGATTGGAAATGAAGCAGTATGAAACACTGCCCCAACACATATTTATATAAAGTGGAATTATGTATAGCTGCCCCCATAGCATCAGGAGCACACATAATTAAGGATGTGCAATGAAAAGAATATCTGGAGAAGCCCTTAGAGTGAAAGCATGTGGAATATAGCAGTAAACACTTTAGAAATTTTTCATGTGGTTTATTTCTAAATCTGATCCATACAAATTCTCTGCTGATGTCCCTAGAGATTTGTAGCCAAATACATATTTTCTTTTACAAGTAAGTGTCTGGTGTCTACTGGAGGTCATGCTGCAGATTTCTGCTTTGTAGAAAAGCGTTACAAAAGCAGCTTTAAATTAAAGCCAATATGGCATGTCCTACAAAGTGGCAGATGGATCAGATTTCTTCATAGTGAAGAATGTTAACCTTAAGCATTGCTTGCTGTCTCATTGACTGATGGGTTCAATAACCCTTCCTTTGCTCCTTACAAAAAATAAACTTATAATTTCTGCAGTTTTATTCAGTCTGTCCACGTTCATTTTATTTCAGTACTTCCTTCGGCAGACCAAGCTATGATTGTTCAGAAGAGTTTGCTACCATTTTCCTCTGTCCAATTTTTCTGGCCCTCTACCTCAAATCATTATAAAGCGCTCAGGGCAATCCATGGAAAGGGGAAGGGGAGAGCTGGGAGAATATTTGGAACCTATTGAAATATATACATTTTGTATATGTATATACAAAAGCTTGTACAAATCTGACAATATTGACACTGTTACCACAGATGGAACGTGTAGCTACGCTCCAAAGAATTAGAGAGCTGGAGCTCTTCTTGGAAGCAACAGAGCACACCGTCTCCACCAAGGAGGAGACAGGGGACTCCCCTGTGAAGGAGGCTAGCTCACCAACACAGGAGCCAGATATATGGAGAAACGTGACTCAAAGAAGTAGGAGGCCCAGGGTTCGCTCTGATTGTTTAGAAATACGCAATTGCTTTGAGGTCCTCTCCCCTAGCATGGAAGACGAAGAGCAGACTCCATTTGAGGATCTCTCCCTCATTACAGTCAATCAGGTATATGAAGACGACCAGCAAAGTCAGTCCTCAAGGAATGTGCAGGCGACCTTGGAATGGACAGCTCACGGAAGAACCCCAACCAAACCTAAGAGGAGGCGTGTAGTGGTGATAGGGGATTCCCTACTGAGGGGAACAGAAGCAGTGATCTGTGGGCCTGACAAGATGTCTCGGGAAGTGTGCTGTCTCCCCGGGGCTAAGATCCAAGATGTAACTGAACGACTGCAAGGAATCATAAAACCCACTGACAAATACCCCTTCCTCTTGGTTCATGTGGGAACCAATGACACTGCAAGCAATAGCCTCCAGAAGATCAAAAGAGACTACGAGGCTCTCGGCAGGAAATTGAAGCAACTAAATGCACAAATTGTCATCTCATCTGTCCTCCCAGTTGAACGACATGGCCCAGGGAGAGAGGGAAAAATAGTGGAAGTGAACAGCTGGCTTCGCAAATGGTGTAAACAGGAACGGTTTGGATTCTTAGATCACGGACTGCAGTTTCTTGAAGATGGACTTCTGGCAAGCGATGGGCTGCACCTCACAACGGTTGGGAGGAATGTTTTTGCCAAAAATCTCAGAAACCTCATCAGGAGGGATTTAAACTGACTAATGTGGGGGAGGGAGACAATGCTCCTGAAGGTAGGAGTCTATCAATTGATGAAGATGATCATCCAAATGTCATAGACCAAATGGAGCAAACAGCATGCAGACCTAGTGGTGGGAGGAAAAAATCCTTAAATAAGAGACACGGGGGAATGATTAATGGACTTCAATGTCTGTACACTAATGCGCAAAGCATGGGAAATAAACAAGATGAGCTTGAGCTCTTGGTACAGCAAACTAAATATGACATAATAGGCATCACTGAAACCTGGTGGGATAAGTCCCATGATTGGAATGTAATAATGGAGGGATACAATCTATTTAAGAGAAACAGACCAGACAAGAAAGGGGGAGGAGTGGCGTTATATGTCAGGGATGTGTATACCTGTGAAGAGATCCAAGATTTAGAACCTCAAAGCCAAAGTGAGAGCATTTGGGTCAAAATTAAGGGAGAGAAGAATAACAGAGACCTCATTGTGGGAGTTTACTATAGATCCCCAAGCCAAACGGAGGACATAGATGATGCCTTCCTGGAACAGATGGCCAAGCATGCAAAAGGAAGGGAGATAGTAGTAATGGGGGACTTCAATTACCCGGATATTTGTTGGATGTCAAACTCAGCCAAGAGCATAAGGTCAAACAGATTCCTCACTGGCCTTGCAGACAACTTCATTGTCCAGAAAGTGGGAGAAGCAACAAGAGGAACAGCCATTTTAGATCTGGTCCTAACCAATGTTGATGACCTGGTTAGTGGGGTAGAAGTGGAAGGATCATTAGGCACGAGTGATCATTGCTCTTCTGAAGTTTACTATACAGTGGAAAGGAGCAGCCAAGCATACTAGGACTCAATTTCTTGACTTTAAGAAAGCCGACTTCATAAAACTTAGGGAAGTGCTGGGTGAAATCCCATGGACAGTAATACTAAAAGGAAAGGGAGTTCATGATGGCTGGGAGTTTGTTAAGAGGGAGATAGTAAAAGCACAACGTCAGGCAATACCAATGAGACGGAAACATGGAAGGTGCCTAAAGAAGCCAGGGTGGCTATCTAAAGAACTTTTAACTGAGTTAAGATTAAAAAAGGATGTGTACAAAAAATGGAAAAGGGGGGAAACCACCAAAGAGGAATTCAAACAAATAGCCAGCACGTGTAGACACAAAGTCAGGAAAGCTAAAGCACAGAATGAACTCAGGCTTGCTAGAGAGGTTAAAAGCAACAAAAAAGGCTTTTATGGGTATGTCCGTAGCAAAAGGAAGAACAAAGAAACAGTGGGGTCACTCAGAGGAGAAGATGGTGAAATGCAAACAGGGGACACAGAAAGGGCTGAACTCCTCAATGCCTTCTTTGCCTCAGTCTTCTCCGATAAAGAAAACAATGCCCAACCTGAAGAATTTGGAGCAAATGATTCAGCAAAGGAAACACAGCCCAGAATAACTAAGGAGATAGTACAAGAATACTTGGCTAGTTTAGATGTATTCAAGTCTCCAGGGCCAGATGAACTGCATCCAAGAGTATTAAAAGAACTGGCAGATGTGATCTCAGAACCACTGGCAGTCATCTTTGAGAATTCCTGGAGAACAGGCGAAGTCCCGGCAGATTGGAGGAGGGCAAATGTTGTCCCTATTTTCAAAAAGGGGAAAAGAGAGGACCCAAATAATTACCGCCCAGTCAGTCTGACATCAATACCAGGGAAGATTCTGGAGCAGATCATTAAGCAAACAGTCTGTGAGCACCTAGAAAGGAATGCTGTGATCACCAATAGTCAGCATGGATTTCTGAAAAATAAGTCATGTCAGACTAACCTGATCTCGTTTTTTGACAGGAATTACAAGCCTGGTAGATGAAGGGAACGCAGTGGATGTAGCCTACCTTGATTTCAGCAAGGCATTTGACAAGGTGCCCCATGATATTCTTGTAAAGAAGCTGGTAAAGATGCGGTCTTGACTATGCTTACCACTCAGTGGATTTGTAACGGCTGACTGAACAGAACCCAAAGGGTGCTCATCAATGGTTCCTCTTCATCCTGGAGAAGAGTGACTAGTGGGGTGCCACAGGGTTCTGTCTTGGGCCCGGTCTTATTCAACATCTTTATCAACGACTTGGATGATGGACTCAAGGGGCATCCTGATCAAATTTGCAGATGACACCAAACTGGGAGGGGTGGCAAACACCCCAGAGGACAGGAATCACACTTCAAAACGACCTTGACAGTTTAGAGAACTGGGCAAAACAAACAAGATGAATTTTAACAGGGAGAAATGTAAAGTATTGCACTTGGGCAAAAAAAAATGAGAGGCACAAATACAAGGACCAGGGACAAGAAGCTGCACATATTGTGTGCTCATGTGCAGGGAGCTTTCTGGAGCTTGACTTTAAACTTGGTGGTCA